ACTATTTTTGTTGTTATGTTTGAAGATAAGGCAATCAAGTATTTCTGGGAAAAATAAATGTATATACCTTCTGCAGTGTGTTGTAGCTGAAAATTAAGTATTTTTCTACTCAAATTTTGACATACTTCCTGGAATCACTGAGCTTTCAGTAACGTTTTTAGTTAGTATTCCACAGCCTACAGTTGAATTCACCACAGCTGAGATGAGCTCAGAAAGTTTGTCTTTATTTAACCTTAGAGAGGAATCCCAGGCTTGCTCTGTAGTCAGCAGAGCTGTTGGGAAGGATCTGCTCCAGAGCGCAGTGGAGGGAGTGCAGGCAGGGTCCCGCTTTGAATCATGCCTGCTACAACATTGCTCCATTAGTGATACTGGAAATCCTGCAAAACAAGGCTCCTTAAAGTGAAGTTAGCCTTTATCGAGCTCTGATTAATATTTTCTTTCATTATCCATCCTTTTCCTTCTTTGACTAATATCTTGATGAATCCTGTTGTTGAAGTCCTGCATCCCGCTGCTTCTCGTGATGTTTGGACGTTGAGGGCACTTATTAGATTAGGACATTCCTTTTCTACCTGAAAAATACATCTATCCTTCTGTAGAGGGGGTGAAAAAACATAAGAAGCCCCGATAAGAATAAACATCCTGCATCACCTTTGCTCTTTTGAGACGTAAAATTGCGTTGGGGTGGCGGGGGGAAGATGCTGCAGCTAAAAGTCAAAGCTTTTAAAGACGCTGATTCTGATTCTCTGCTCCATTACACATTTTTCACACTGATGTAGCTCCGCGGGGCTGCTTTGTCTCTTTCTTGTCAGCTGGTAACAAGTACAGAGAATGTAAACGGCCTGTGGCATTAGGACCACCTAACAGACAGTAGCAAGCCATCCCGTTAGATTGGTGATTTCATAGTTACTTGTTTAGAATAATTTTGTTGATGAGGTTGACTATTTCCAGTTAACTATTACCTATTACAGTTTTAAGACAGTAATTACCCCCAAAAGTTAGTATTCGCTATGCCAGCAGTTAGTGGTAGTATTGGCAGTAACCTTACTGTTAGCAGTATTTATGCCAGGAAATAAATGCTTGTCTTTATTTGTCAGTAAACATTGACATTTGAATGGCATGAAAGATTATGTATTGATTTCTGTGGATTCAAGTCTCTAGAATTACCTTAATCTTTATTTTCCCCCACGTTAAGGAATGAGGTAAAGTTGAACTTGATGAAATAGATACTCCAGCGCTAGATTTATTATTTGAGTGCATGAAAATTCTTGAAAATGTGTACCTTATCAAACTGAGCCTGATTTCAGTTGTACATTTTACTCATAGTGGAAGGAAATTTCCATTGTTAGAAAAATCTGGAGGCCTCCCCTCACGAGAAGTGCTCTGAAAATGAAGAAGTGGGATTCTCGTCAGAGATAGGAAGGATCATCAGCCTGAATCGCCGTGCGGACCTGTAGGCGTTGATTTGTAGCCAGTATCTGCAAAATAAACTGCAGGGTTCAGTTTGCAAACACTATTGTGAACCAAACCCTGCAGGGTTCAGTTTGCAAACACTATTGCGAACCAGACCCTGCAGGGTTTGCCGAGCTCCGGTTACTATTATTGCTCTTAGTAAGGCTTATTATCCTGTCACAGAAGATGTAAGAAAATCCATCTCTCCACTTTAAACATGATAAGCCTTTGTCACCTACAATGCAATTAAAGTTAAAAATAGAAGAGCGCTGATGATAAGATTGTGACTTGCAGGCAATGAGCCATTGTCCAAGCACTGGAGACTTATCTGGAGGGCCAGTCAGCCTACACGCTTTGCTGTCAGTTTGCTGATTGCCGTTTCTCTCCGAGTTTGATGAAATATTCATGTCTTTGCTCTGCTCTCTGCAAGCACTATTGATTTCTTGTATAAACGCGGCTATATTTAGTCTAGACAAATGGAATGTGGATTGCTGCTGAATAAATGGGATGAAAGACTGGGGGTTTGCCTGTCTGTTTCTCTTGGTCTGTGGCAATTATTTATAATCAAGAGTAGTTTTTGTAAGTTAAAGGTGATTTTTTATAATTTAGTGATTAGTCTCAGAACAAAAGTAAGCACTTAGACACAATCATTCTGTTGGGATAGCAGGTTAAGAAGGCAAATTATGCCCTGAGGTTTACAATCATAGTTACTAGGATTTAAAAAAAAAAAAAAAAAAGCCCAGAAAATTGTAGGTTTCCAGAATTTTGAGAAGAAAAGAATATGATGAGTAGAAGAGATTTAGTGCCTTGTCTCTTCTTTTTATAAAACTTTATAGTAGTAGATTTGATTGTACAGCTAGAATTCAGTGCTCTCCCTTTGCTGCAGTTTCAACTTTTGCTGCTTCAATTTTTTTTTAGAATATTTCTGTTTCACTTTGGTTTTCTCCTTGAAAACAAATACAGCTGTAGCAGAGCAAAAGGAGAAAATGTGCTTAAAATCTTGTTCCCTAGTCATTTCCAACAGCATGTTTGTTTTCAGTTAATAATCTTATTTTCCTATTAAGATAGTGGAGCAGTAGGAACAGGAGTGAATGTGTTTGTGTTCCACTGTCCTCTCGTGGATGGAATCAGAACTGCTGAGCTTTGGCAGAAACCCTCAGCTGCTATTTATTTTCCTCTTGTAGAAAAGTTACTTGCTAGGTTTTTTGTTCTTTTGAAACAGATAAAGTTACAATCTGTCTCTTCACTTAATGTGAAAACCTGAGCTTTGCAAGGATTGTAGTGAAAATCATCAAATCTCTGTCTTCTGCTGCTTTTTAGTCCCTTCGATTTAAATAAGGAGATAGAAAAACATAGGATTCTTCATTAAGTACTTTAACACTGAATTAACAATACATACCACTGCTGCAACGAATTGGAATAATTCAAGATGTTTTCATTTTCTTACAAGCCATATATAGTGTATTATGTCTAATCCACTCCAAGCATGGTTGTCACTTTTCAAAAAGCTGTGTTAGAACTTCTCGTTTTGTGTGTCAAATTATATCCCTATAATTTTATATGTTATTCCTATGTATTTGCCAGGTATATTTACATGCAGTAGCTATGAGGCATTGGGTAGCTGTTCATGTGTAACACCATCCCCAGAAAATCTGCGCACTAGCTATGGAAAATCTCTTGGCAATGCAGTGAGAACGGGAAGGCCTTCGTCTCATGCTGAAGAAGTGCCCTCAGCGTTTATTGTGAAGCAGTAATAGTGCCTAAGAGATTCTCACTAAATATTGCTCCATTAGGCTGTGACATGGTTTTAGAACTGGGTTGCTTGTTAGTCTGTTTAGCAGAATAATAATCTGGGAGTATTTTTGCAGAGAATGGAAAGAAAGTGATAAAATAATTTGTAAAATCTCCAGTTGCTAGTAGGAATGTGTGAAGTTTGCATACAGCTTAGATTGCGTTAGTGTTTTGTTAGGTCTGTACATTGAAGCAGTCTTTGAGTGCAATTGGTCTTTTCCCCAGTAGGAATGATCTCTATCCTCCTTCTCCAGTTATATTTAATACATATACGTTTTGTTGTTTTCTTCCCACAGTGGATGTGAAGTCGGAGGTTCCCGTGGGATTAGAGCCTATCTCACCATTAGACTTGCGAACTGATCTCAGGATGATGGTTCCCATGGTGGACCCAATTATGCGTGAAAAGCAGCTACAGCAGGAGCTACTTCTGATCCAGCAGCAGCAGCAAATTCAGAAACAACTGCTGATTGCAGAGTTTCAGAAGCAGCATGAAAACCTGACCCGCCAGCACCAGGCCCAGCTCCAGGAGCACATAAAGGTAGCAACATTTTTCATTTATCCCTCACTTTATCTGCAAACTGAATATGCTTAGGCAGACATGAAAAGGGAACATGCCTGAAAGGTTCGCTGTGACTGAGAGATAGTGTTTGAGTGCTTATTTCTCTGTATTTGGGTGATAAAAACCTTTTCAAGCAAAACTGCTAGCACCTACCAGCAAGTTGCTCAGAGCAGACCAAGGCAGTACTATGACAATCATCAAGCTCATAAAGCCACCGCATCCGCAGAAAATCGAAGTACCTGTTTTACAAAGCTGGATTTATGCCAGACTTCAGTATGGCCGTCTTTTCTGTATGCGCAGTTTTGAGTATATTAAAAGACTGCTTTTTTGGGCTACTGTTTGAGTTTGTGCCTGCAAATCAAATTGATAGGCAAGTGCATAATATTTGCATTTGTAAAATGGAGGCAGACCCTGAAAGTGTTGTGTTTTCACTCTTCTCTGAGCTGCCTCATATAATGTAAAAAGAAAATGATTTATGGGATTACAGGCACTATGGTAGGATTGCTATAATGGATTTTGACCAGGAATTTATGATCTTGCCTTTCTTTTAATTTTTTCCTTCTGATCTACTTGCCATTATGCTACTGTGCTAAGCTTCCACTCGATGGAGCTGACAAATGCAGCAGGGCACGGCAGCCAGAGCTGGGTGATGCACTGGCAAAGAACACTGTGCAGTTTCCAGGCGTTTTTGCCAAAAGAGAAAGAAGTGAAACCAGAGTGGCAGGCGGCTACTTGACATTAGAGTTCATTGTAGTGACAGCCAGTAATACACTATCCTGCTTAAAAGACTGCGGAAAGCCGGTTAAGAGATGAAAAGAAGTGTAAGCACAAAAGCAAGCACTGATACTCAGTTATTCAAGGGGGGTGTTTTAGGCAGGACTGACCTAGAAAACAGTGCAAACTGCACTTTCTCATGTCTTTTTGTTCTGTGCAAGTTACAACAGGAACTCCTAGCCATTAAACAACAGCAAGAACTCCTTGAAAAAGAGCAGAAACTGGAGCAGCAGAGACAGGAGCAGGAACTGGAGAGGCATCGCAGGGAACAACAGCTTCCTCCCCTCCGAGGCAAAGAAAGAAGCCGAGAAAGTAAGAGCCAATGTACCATGAATCCTAATAAGAAATGAATCTATTCCCCTTTGCCTTCTCCCAGCCAAAGTGGACGATGAACAGGAACCTGAAACAAGCCTATTGCTGTGTGAAATACTCAACTAGAGAAGTCGAGGCTGTGCCTGCAGAAAAGCAGGGCCACCTGTTGCACCCACAGAAACACATCGCTGGTTTGTGTGCAGGCTTGGAGGACTGTAGGAAAGCACATTTTGACAGACCTGTGTATATGCATCTCAAGAATCTAGCTCTTTTTATAAAAAAGAAGGGAATTTGAAAGCCTAAAGCTTCATTTGAGAACTTCTTTCTGAAGAGCTTATTTCTCAATACAGAAAGCACTACAAAACAGCAAAAAATCAAATTACTTGCTGATTAACTAATTTGGGCATTGTTTCAAGATTGAAAATATAATGAAATATTTAAGAATATCTTTGGCTGAGACTTCTGAATACTTTTGCTAGTACTTTTTCAAACTGCCTTGTGTTTGTTCTTGATACCGTTTCATGAGGCCCAACCAAGTTATTTTTAGCTCATATATAGCTCTAAGGCAAATGACAGATATAAAGGATACTGTTGGAATTTGGTGCTCACTAGAGGGAGACAGATACAAATAATTCTCCTTAGTGAGGTCAGTTTAAAAATCAGGTTGAAGTACATTGTGAAGGTATTCAAAATGAAGCTGCCAGGAGCAGATATTGTTACTTATCCTGCTAAATGACCACAAGAATTAACTGACAAAGACCGAAGCAGAAAAGAGCTGTACATAATGCTCCTGCCTTTTTTTTCTTGGGTGGAAAAATGTATCAGTTCAACAGTTTTAGGTGTACCATATGGTAGGCTTTAGAAATTAAGGTGTCCATGGTCCTTCCAGTACTTTGGTGAACGATGAATCCATGAAAGCATCTCAGCCTATTGACCCAGCAGTGGGAGGGTGGCAGAAACTGCAGGAACTAAAGATTCCTGTAAGTGGTATGAAAAATCAGCCTCCATATTAACAGTTGGGCTTTATTCGTGCTCCCACCAAAGGAAGAGCAGCGATGTGAACTCAATGGTTCCTTTCTCAGTTTGGCATGCTGGGTGGCTATTCAGTATGTAGCAGCCAGCCAAGCAGCACTTGTGACCCCCCCCAGGCCCAGCCCCAGCATTTGCTGCTGCTGCTGATCTACTTAATGAGCAGAGGAGGGAAGGAAGGTGCGGGGAGGGGAGTTAGGGTCTGAAGCTGAGGAGTAGTGGAGGTATTTTATGGGAACTGGGTCACAGGGGGACACACTCACAACCTAGCTGTGCTGTGTCAGGGTTGGGTAACCAAATACTTAGAGTATCAGTATGCCTTAGTGCTGCTACTTTAAAAGAAATGTTTTTTCTTCCCTTTTTTGTCACTGTTTATGGAAAACTGAAAGAATATTTTTCTTTTTCATGTTTTTTTTACGAAGAGTGTTATGGCTGTGAGTAAAGAAGCATGTCCCATGCTGCAAGCAGGAACTGGCAGTTTAACCTGACATGGACATGCCCTACTTCTTGTACTGTATTGAGCTAGCCACCAAGAGAGGTCAAAATGCACTGCGTCTTCCTGGCATTTTGGTCTTTCTTTTGGTTTTGTGTTTTAAGAGTAGAATTACCAACTAAGACTCATGTTTCAGACTGTGGTCTGTCTTCCAGACATCACAGGTACAGGCTCTTCAGTGGCTTCAATAAAAAGGCTCACTGCTGGCTCTTTTGCAGCAGTCCACTCATAACCAAGACGTTGTTCAGAGGGCAGTTTTGCTGTCCTGTTGCTGTTACTTTACTAAAAGAAAAAACATTCTTTACTGCAAACTCAAAGTGACCTTTTGTCACTATCTTTTTAGTTCTATCCTTGGCTTTGTATTTGGGAATTATTAAGAAATAATTTAAATTCTTTAGATACATCTGGCCCTGGATAAATGGCCTCATCTACTGTTGAAATATTCCTTATGACTTCACTGGATTTCTGGGTTATGGCCAACTTCAGTCTTCTACAGACAAACATTTAATCCGCATGTTATCTCATTTTGACTGATTTCCACCAATATCTTTTATAATTTACAACACTTCCAGCAACAAGACACGGGCTCTTTTTTGTGTTTTGGTTTTTGTTTTCTTTAAAAATGTAATTTTTATAAGTAAAGATAAGATATGTTTAATTCTGTGTGTCTTAGGGGCAGTGGCCAGTACAGAAGTGAAGCAGAAACTTCAAGAGTTCCTGTTGAGTAAATCGGCAACAAAAGACTCTCCAGCAAATGGGAAGAATCATTCCATGAGCCGCCACCCCAAGCTCTGGTACACGTATGTTCAGTATTAAGCTGTTTCCTTGCCTCATCGAGGTATCTGTTAAAACTTGCCAGAATGCTTCTCCAGCAGGGGTTTTGAGAGTCTGCCTCCAGAACAAGACAGTAGTTCAACCAAGAAGTTCTCAGAAAGGCGGAAGTGTAATATCACAAATTCTACAACTATACCTGTCATTTTTCCAAGTCTCTTCAATTTTTGCAGTTAGAACAACTTTGTGTTTGATTTACTTGGATTTTGAATCAATCACAAAACTTGTTTCTTCTTGAAGATATGCTGCTTTGCAGTGAAGTTACTTGAATGGTGTAAGTAACTCACAAGGATTTTGAGAAGGATAGTGGTCATTTAACTTTTCTTACTTTGATGGATTTTATTATCCAAAACTGCATATTCTTATGATGCCTTGGCCTTGATAAGAATCTGCTTAGACCATTGAAACAAGTCATTTCATTGAGTCCTATAATGGGCCTATTAACATTTTAAGAGTTTACAGTTTTTACCCCCCACTTTTTTTTCTTTTACTAATTAATTCCTTTTTAACTTCCTTATTACAACAGACACATAAGTCAATCCAACAAAATGAACTCTGGCTGCATTTCTGAAAGACTTCAATGTTATGCCTGAATTGACCTTCAGTAGGACAAACAGAAATGCATATGGTACACTGGATTTCCATCTTGTACTTGTTCTTTTTAGAAAGAATTACTGAAGGCCTGCCCTTGGAGTTTCCATTCTGAGCTTATCAGAGCGTTGTGGTAACGTGATTTAATATATCGTTGCATTGTTTCTCATGGAGATACAGTACTTAATTTTTTTTTCCAAATAATGTGCAAAATTCTCTTGAGTATGTAAGATTTCTGGACTAATAATCTGAGGTTAGTTCTGAGTCTTCAGATGAGTGAGAATGAGGAGCTCTGCAGAGGATGTCTTCTGCTACTCCAGGGAAAGGAGTACTTCCTCTCATGGTAGTGCCCCTTTTGACAGAGAATTGTTATGTGTTAACCACACTACATTGGAAAGGTAGGGAAATACTCTGTAAAAGGCCAAGGAAAATTATGTTTAGATAAACACAAAGTTTGAAAGTTTCCCTCCTTTCCCTCTCTCCCCCTCTAAATAGAAAAATCAACCAAATAATAAAAAAAACCCTGTCTCTGGGCCAAATGATGCAATTTCTTTGCAATTTGCAGTTTCCGTGTTCAGAAAGATCTGCCCACACTGATTCTTTCAGCCAGCAGTTGTCAGAAAGCACTCTTGAGCTTGGAGCTTCTCTGCTGATGTGAGTGCTCTGTGCTGCAGAGTGGTGCGCTCACAAAACTTAAAAACTGAACTTAAATGCAAGGTTTTATCTACGTTGTCGACTAAATAGGTTGCATTTTTTTTTCAACAGGTAATAATAACTCAATATTTCTGGTTAGTTTTATACAAGCCCCCCTGCCCTGAAGATCCCCCACATTTTGATAGAAGAGGCTGGATCAATGTACATCTATTTGTACATGATAAACAAGACTTAAATGGCTTTTGCTGTGCCTCAGCTGGTTCATATTAAAATGCAACAATCTAAAATGGTCAATTCCCCAAACTGGCGACAGATCCTGTCTGTAGGTCAACATGACTCTTATCCTATGTGACTTTTATAATGAGTGCAAAAAGCGTGTTCTTGGGAATCCCGAGGAGTTCCATAACTTACTGTAAAGGTGAAATTGGTTACATGAGCCTGTGGTTTGTGCACACTTAGACGAACAAGAACATAAACACAGCTGAGACATGTGGACAGCATGTGTAGGTAGTTACTGTTGGTCACCTCAGTGACTGCTAATTTGTGACCTCTCTGTGTCTGCTGCAGGGCTGCCCACCATACCTCACTGGATCAAAGCTCTCCACCCCTGAGTGGGGCCTCGCCACCATACAAATACACTTTACCAGGAGCACAGGATGCCAAGGATGATTTTCCACTTCGTAAAACGGGTGAGTTAGCGTAGTTTATTCAAGCCCCTTACCCAGAAATTCTCCCACCCTTTATTTTAACCAGGCTGTCCATCAGCAATGCATATATCATAATCCACAAAGCCTGCTCAGGATGATACTATGGGTAAGTTCAAAGATCCTGACTACATCTTTATGAGGTTGGACTGACCACATGGTATCAAGAGTCGGTGTTTCCCAATGCTAACAGCTAGTGCAAGTTCAGTCCTGATAAATTTAGTTTTTAAACAGACCATCATTTCACAGATCTTCTATGGCATTATTTTCTTTGTTTCAATATTACTTCTGGGTTTAATAGCTCTCTCTCTTGTGCATGGTAGATACAGTATCTGTCTTCAGATGGTATGCTGCCTTTAGACAATGTTTTTCAGGACATTTTGAGGGGAATTCATGGAAAGAGGAGGAATTAGATTAATACTATATTTTATGTCATTGGTTGTCAAAGTTTGTATGCATATGTGCATACATACGCATACACACGCACACATTTGTGTGTGCTTTTTACATGTAGGAATGTGTGATATTGTACAGGAAATGTTCCTTTGAACGTTTCAGAATGCTTCAGAGGATTAGCAACTGCACGTTTTGTCTTGACAGCAGGTGAACTGTAGACGTGACTTTTTCTGCATCATAAAGAAAGCTAGAAGGATGGTGGTGGAGTCCATGCGGCTGTTGCCTCAGGTCCTTGGTGCAGTGACCGGTATCCAGGAATGCAGGGAGACACTAAGAGAAGGGGGGAAAAAAAGAAACGAAAACATTAGGTCGCTTATTGCATGAGTCTGCTGTTGAGTGATATAGTTACATTCAGAGAGAAAGTCTGATCCCCTACTGTGCTAACAGCCTTTGAATGTGATTTAGCCACTGGGAGATTGAAAACTAACTGCAAAACTGGTACTCACTTGAAAAGAAGTGGTATTTGGAACCAGCATACATGCAGAAAGAAAATCCAGTCTGTATCTAATACTTTGGGGCAGACTCTCTAAGCTCATATTATATCCCCAAATATTTTCAAAGGAATGAAAGCATGAAAAGCAAAATGCTAATTTATTCTAGCTGAATTACTCTTTGTACAATATGGTGGCAATATAACAAGATTCTATAAAATCTTGTTCAGGCTATTCAGTCACAATAAGCCCTTATGTGGTTCTCTGCTTAATACCACTGTACAACATAGATTTTCTGTGCCAATAGAATATACATTTTCATTCTTTAAACAAAAGGATACACTTTACATCTTGTAAATGCTGTGAATTCATCTACGTGTTTTTGAAATGCAAGTTTTAATTTTTCTTCCGTGTTTATATATCTTAAATGTTATGATTGATATTTATGATGTGTCAGACTGTTGATCTGTAAAACAAAACATTTTCAAACATTGTAACAGTAAAGTTCTCGTGCAGCTGCTAATACTTTTATATCTCTGTGGGGGTTTCAAAATATTCCTTAATTCAATTCCCATTGTCTGCATAAGAGGACTATAATATAATTAAATCCAGATGTTTTCTATATGTTATTCCAAATATTTGGGCATGCAGTGCATCAGTTCCAAAATTGAACAAAGGACATGATGGCTCTCTGAAAAGATATCTACAGAATAAATAGACAAATACTAATATAATCATTAGCATAACCGTTTCTATGACATTTACATAGTGATTCTGATAAGCAAATATAAATGAAGTGTACAGTATGTTAGCAAGGGAGTATATTTGATAGCTTTCTGCATCCGTGAAAATAACAAGTGTTAAATATCCTGTTTACACGTCCAGTTTCTCTATATACTGAGTTGTTTAATTCCAGCCTTCAGCAACATCCCCACAAAGGCTGCAATGATTGCTCATCAGGTTGAGAGTAAAAGCAACAGGAACCAGATCGACACAAGTCAAATGACCCTAAACTGATCTGGGTGGTTATAGGGCCATCCTCCAGGCAGAGGGGACATTGTGGAGCCTGTGTCATCCTCATGGGACCTTACTAGACAAAGATGTCCTACGAACACTCGTGTATATGGACAGGCTATAAGCCTGCAGAAATCTGACCTTTGCCATGAGGGGTGAACCTCTTTTCCTTTCCTTTAGGCTATGAACGCTTATTGCCACTGGCTCCTGGTAAATCCTCTGTGGTGCTGAACCTGCATGAAGTCAGCAATTCATATGAAAGTGGACCTCACATTCCTTTCAGCCTTAAGAAAGGAATACCTGTTGTGGGTTTTAATCACAGCTTTGTTTTGCTTCTCAATTTTGTTTTCTATAGTCATAATGTAAAATACAGAGGTATCTTTCTCTTCTCCAACTTTAATATTAATGCTCTTGGAAGTTAATTCTGATTGAATCAGTTACTCTAAGATCAGATTTAATGAGCAGCAAAGCTGAATGATTCTCTCCTGACAACCTAATGTGTTTTTCAGTGCTAAGGGAACACCAAGTGTCACACAGGCATTGTAAACCATGAGTCTTGCTTGCCCACTTTCTTGCTTAGTAATCTATTTAACCTTTGCTTAATTAGTCCTGAAGTGGCATCTCCTTATTAATCTTGTAAAAATTAATTCAGAGAGACTTTGGTAAAGAGGAAAATATTCTGTGCAACTTTTACTCTTCTAGCATCTAGAATGATGGGATGCATAAATACCTAGGG